GCATTTACCTACATGCAAAAACACTGTTTTGCATATATTCATCACTTAACCTTGGGTTGTCCTTATCCTCGGCCCCATTTTACAGATAAGGAAATAGGCTCAGAAGGACTCTGTAGTTTGCAGGGGGTCACACTGCTAGCATCAAAGTGACGGTTCACACCTAGGCAGTTGGGCTCTAGGCCCTGAAGCCCAGGTCATTGACCCCTACCCACTTCAGTGTGTGGAGAAGTCACGCCTGGTGTGAAATCATCGGGGCATGTGTTTCTGGGCTACCTGGTAGCCCACACCAAAAAGAGGATAGAATCATTCCTTCTCATTCAAGAAATATCTCCGAGTGCTTGCTCTCTACTGGGCCCTTTGTTAAGTTATAACTGTAAGTGACCTGTGAGACCAATCCCTGCCCTGGAGGAGCTCCCAGGCCACTGGGTGAAGCAGTTCTGTCAACAGAGCCTCGTGGCAGAGGCAGCAGAATGCCCACGTGGAGACCTGTACAGAATGCCGGCAGAGCGGAGGGCGCGGCCTTCCATGTGGCTGGTGGCTCCATGGCTTGACTGCCCAGACCCAGGACCCTCTGTCTCTGGGGTAGGAAAGCCCCTTCTTCTCTGGTGCCGTTGAGGAGCCAGGCCCAGAGAAGGCCTCCTTTCTTGACTGTAGGGAAACTGTGGTGAAGACTGTCCATGGCTTTGGACCCCGTTGCTTTGCCACCAGCGGGGGACAGTCTTGGCACAGTCTCCCCTCCCCTCCAACAGAACACACTGGCCTGAAGCAGCAGTGGAAGGCAGTGCCTTCTGTGGCTCTGGGAAGGTGGAGGAAGGAGAGGGATCCGGTTTGGGTCCTTCAATCACTTGGTCCACGGGGGTCAAAGAAAGAAGGCCTGCCCTCCAGTCCTTCCTGCAGATGGTGACCCTATGACTTCAGGCAGGAGCCGTAGCCTGTCCTCCATTGCTCTTCTTCCCCCAAAATGAAAAATGCAGGGCACTATTTGCTTCTCTGTTATGTCCACTAGAGCTTTATTCCCACCACGTTTTGTAAAGAATCTGTTATAGCATTCATCACCATTGTTTGAAAGGCTCTCATCTCAACCCACTGGAATTTTGAAGCTAAAAATCACATCTGTTTTAAAAATCCTTTTTCAAAAAAAACATTTTAGAAATCTTTTTATCCCAAGCATGGACTGTCACATTGGCATTCTGAAAATTGAGTACGTGAATGAAGAAATGAGGCTGCCAATTATTAAATTATTTATTTATTTTAAAGATTTTATTTATTTATTTATTTGTCAGAGAGAGAGAGAGAGCAAGAGCAAGCAAGAGCGAGCACATGCAGACAGAGTGGCAGGCAGAGACAGAGAGAGAAGCAGGCTCCCTGCCGAGCAAGGAGCCCGATGTGGGACTCGATCCCAGGACGCTGGGATCATGACCTGAGCCGAAGGCAGCCGCTTAATCAACTGAGCCACCCAGGCGTCCCAATTATTAAATTATTTAGAGGGTTACTACTTTGAGGGCGAGATCAGACAGCATGCATGATAGGCTGGTAAGAACCTCTAAACAAATAGTACTCTCTGGGCTCCTGGGAGGCTCAGTTGGAAGAGCGGATAACTCTTGATCTCAGGGTCAGGAGTTCAAGCCCCACATTGGGACTAGAGTTTACTCAGATGAAGAAAAATAATAAAGAAAAATAATAAATAAATAGTACTCTTTTCATTCCGTTGCAGCAGTTTCCAAATACTATATTCTGGGCATGGCTGTGTGGGGACCCCTCAGGAACTAAGGTGCAGATGCCCAGACATGCCTAAAGATTCTGAGTCAGTAGGTCTGGGGTAGGACTCAGGAATAAGTCAGTATGCTCTTTTTTTTTTTTTTTTTCTTTTAAGAGCATTTGAGGGAGGTGGGGATGCAGAGGGGGAGAGAGAATCTCAAGTAGCCTTGGAGCCCCATTGGGTCTCGATCTCAAGACCCTGAGATCACAACCTGAGCCGGAAATCAAAAGAGTGGGACACTTAACTAACTGAGCCACCCAGGTGCCCCAGGCACTATGAATAAAGGTTCCCTGAGAGCCACTGTGGCTTGCATGAGGTCAGGGTGGAACTCCGAGTGCCATTTCACCAGGCCTTAATTCTGCCCTGCTTCATGCTGAGGACCGCAGGCGATGGCAGCGGCACAGGTCTGTCAGGAAGCAGCGGGATGGCAGAGCACCCCAGTCCTGCTCGGAGGACTTGGGGAAGCCCCCCAACAATTGGCTGTCTCTAACTCTTCCTAAGGTTGTTACAGGGATTGTGTCACAATCACTGAGGAGCTGTGACCAAGCTAACTTCCTTTGCATTAGTGTGATATTCCTAAAAAATCTCTGTTGACCTCCCTATGTGTTTCATTTTGCCTTCATTTTTCCTCATCTTCATAGCCCCGTGATTTTCCAATGGCTGAATGACACTCCTCTTATTAGTCATGGGCTGTGAGCACCACAGGTGGAATTTTCTCAAGCCTAATGTCCCTGTAAATACTTTCTGTGGATGATGTTATTGGATGGGAAACCCATTTGTGACGGTCCAACAGCAGGGGAGTGCTGGAGGCTCGTGAGCAGAGAGCCTCGGTTCAACTTCTGTTGCTTATTTGGAAAACTCAGTAGCTGTTTCTTTGGATTCATATACAGTACTCTGCGGTTTCCAAGGGTTCTAGCATGTGGCTTCAGATAACAATTAGGGCAAGAACAATGAGACAGATGCTCATCTCTTTAGAGAACAATTTCTAGCTCTTTATTAAGCCATCTTTTCAATCCAGGAAGTTCCCTGAACACAAGAGCATCATTGAAAGAGTCGTGTGTTCATTAACTTCAGAAGATTATCATTCTAGGAGCAAGAGAAATCAGGGCTACCCAAAGTTGGTGTGTTGTGGTTAAAAGCAGGGACTCAGGGGCGCTTGGGTGGCTCAGTGGGTTAAAGCCTCTGCCTTTGGCTCAGGTTGTGATCCCAAGGTCCTGGGATCAAGCCCCGCATCGGGCTCTCTGCTCAGTGGGGAGCCTGCTTCCCCTCCTCTCTCTCTGCCTGCCTCTCTGCCTACCTGTGATCTCTGTCAAATAAATAAATAAAATCTTTTAAAAATAAATAAATAAAAGCAGGGACTCAGATATTCTGGATTCAAGCCCCACCTCCAGCCCTTGCTAGCTGTGTGATGAGTAAAATTCTCCTTGCCTCGATTTCCTCATCAACACAGTGGGGATCATTAAAACTCCCCACAGATTGTGTAGTGATGACTGAGTAAGATAGCCTGTGCCAGAAACTGAAAGATGCTGGGCATATAATAAGCTTCCAAATGTTGGCAACGTTGTTATTTATTTAGTGAACAAACTTTTTAAAAAAATACTGTATTTATTGAGAGAAAGCAAGAGAGCGAGAACAAGGGGAGGGGCAGAGGGAGAGGGAGAGAATCTCAAGCCTACTCCATGCTGAGTGCAGAGCCGGATTTGGGGCTCAATCTCGGGACGCTGACATCATGACCTGACCCGAATCCAAGAGTTGGGTGCTTAACTGACTGAGCCACCCAGGTGCCCCAGTGAACAGACTTTTTTGAGCAACGCCTAAGTGCCATTTTAAAATAAAAAGGCAAATTACAGTGCTAGGTACGCATATGAAAAGACTCAAAACATACTATCAAATTAAAAGTGTAACTTCAAATGAAGTACTACAAACAAATTTTGAAACTATTTTATATACATATATTTATGTGTATGTATGTATGTGTATGTGTCTATGAATTCTATGTAAGTATTCAAGCATAGGAATACATCTGGGAAAAATCCGCTAGCAAGTTACTATCGGTGAAGAGACAAGTCAGTTTTTTCCAAGGGAGAGCTTGTACAGGGTAGAGGTGAGGCACCCATACAAGGTAGTTTTTGCTAATAAGTTGTTAGTATAGCACCCAATTGTAATATCATTTCTTACTATCATGAGTCTAATATGCTGTTTGTGAGGCTACAGATACTCATTCATGAATTCTGTAAACATTCAGGCAACACCACCGCATGCCACGCCCTCTGTGAGGCAGTGGGAACATACATAAGACCTGATCTCTGCCTTGGGGAAGATTTCAGGGTAGGAGGATTATAGAGATCACCAAAAATAAAAATGTCATCAGCACCAAAACAGTCACAGCTGCAGCCATATGATTTTTTATAACCCTGATGGAAACACCAGCCAAAACTTATGGAGCGTTTGCAAATGTGCCAGACATGCCTATGGATATTATTATGAATGTGATCTATGATTGTTACAATTATTGATGCTATTCTTTTTTTTTTTTTTTTACATTTTATTTATTTATTTATCGGGTAGGGGGGCAGAGGGAGAGAAAATCTTAAGCATTGACTCTGTGCTGAGCACAGAGCCCAACTTGGGGCTTGATCTCACGACCCCGAGATCCTAACCCGATCTGAAACCAGGAGTTGGTCGCTTAACTAACTGACTGTACCATGGAGGCTCCCCTTGATGCAATTTTTAACCAAAGCAAACTGATACAGAGTTAGAGAATCCGTGACCAGCACCCTCCTGTGACTGCTAGAAGTGTGATTTCTGTGCTCTGCCTTCCAGCATTACCAAGAATTTTGCCTCCCTGATGCCTTTCAAAAACCCAGCTCAGGGGTGCCTGGTTGGCTCTGTGGGTTAAAGCCTCTGCCTTAGGCTTAGGTCATGATCCCAGGGTCCTGGGATCAAGCCCCGCATTGGGGGGGTCTCTGCTCAGCGGGGAGCCTGCTTCCTCCTCTCTCTCCGCCTGCCTCTCTGCCTACTTGGGATCTCTGTCTGTCAAATAAATAAATAAAATCTTTAAAACAAAACAAAACAAAACAAACCCAGCTCAGACAGTGTGCATTGCATTGTTTCCAGGTGCCTTCCTCCCTTAACAATATATATGAAGTCATGTTGCTCGTACCTTAATCACACTGATTTCTCAGCCTATTTAAGTCCTCTTTATTGCATGTTTTTTTTTCTTTTAATAACCTGCCTTGAAGAAAGTTAAGCTGAAACCGCTGCTCAGCTTCCAAGATGTTACCACCCAAAGTGCATGCGCTTTTCTGCCTCTGCAGCTGCCTCGCACTGGTCCATCCTATTGACTGGCAAGACCTAAATCCTGTTGCCCAAATTAGATCATCAGGTAAGAGGTGTCTTTGTTAAAGGGCTTGAGCAACTGACCTATTGCCAGACTCGACTGACCCCAGAGCAGTTGCACGTGTGGACTTTTAACTAAGGTTAATTACAAAGAGGCTTATGGAGATCTTGTGTTCTGGGGCACGGAACAAAGCCTCCCTTTCTCCTGACTCCAACCGAAACTGAAGAAGCTCCCATATTCTTCAACGTCATGACGGCAGGACAGAACCAAGTGAGGCATTTTCAGGCAAACCAGAAACTCAGCTCACGACCACTGTAGAAAACTTCCTCAACCCGGCCCCTTATCTCTCTCACCATCGTAACCGGCCCCAACATAGGCGCAGTGACACAACCCCTTGGGGTTCCCTCAGAGGCAACCGCAAAACCTGCTCCCATGGAAGGGGAGGGACAGGCAGTTGTCTTGATCAACAGGTTTAGTTCTGGTTCGTATGGGGAGGAGATGAGAAAATGGCAGGTTAGGGTCTTGGGGCCCAGAGGGGAACGGTGTTTCCACTGTCATCACAAGGAGAGGAAGGGACAAGCTGAAGAGCTCTGGGTGAGAATGGACGTGAGAATGGATCTCTTGCTCGTTCTTACCTTGTAGTGGGAGGGAAGAAGAAGAGGCAGAGGTTGAGTCAAGCCCAGAAGAGGTGGCCTGAGTGAGGCAGCCATTTCTAGACAAGGACATGTGCCTTCACTAAGAAGGACCTTGACTGCAAAGAGCTTTGTGAATGCCTGCAAATCCCAGAGCATTGTGCTGCATCATCTTCTGTAGCCAGCTTCCCCTCAGGTGAACCGTGTAGGTGGCTTCTGAATGGTGTCATACTGTCTGGCCCCATGCCTGGTCACTCTGGATATAGCTGTTCAGGTTGGACGGGTGACTCCTTATTGTAACATTTACAAAAAGCTTTCGTCACACTGTGCCTGATAAATATTGCCCTGTTTCATAGCTAGGAAAGTAAAGGCATCCCTAGGAAGGACCATATGTTGTGTCTACATTTGCATGGGGAATGGTGTAATATCTCACAGGTGCGTTCATTCAACAACATGTATCAGGAAGCTGAGGCACTGGTGACTAAGACAGTGAGTTTGTGGACAAGCTCAAGGAGCTTCCAGCCTAGTTAAATTAGTTTTCCCATTACCTTTTCTAAGGATTGGAAACAAGGAGCATCTTACACTGTGAGAGGATTATCAGTGAAGAGACCTTTACATCATGTACTTTTTATTGGTACAGCGTGGGAATTTCAAAACACGTTTTATATCCCCTTCATTGTTGAAAATCATTGGAAGGCTGGCATTGGATGGGCAGAAACTTGGGGAAACAGACACTACTTTATTCATCTTTATAACCTCACCCTTGAACCCAGTGCCCCATTCTCAGTGCTCAAAAATGAATGCAAAAATATTTTGTAAATTACTAGAAATCATTTATTGAATAAAGGGTTAAAGTAATGGATGATTGTTTGTATTCTTCTAACCAAATGAATATATAGAAAGTAGGGTTATGCAGGTGAAGTATGGGCTAGAGATACCCTTTTTGTGAGTGGAGGACATGAAGCTATGTAAGGAAATACCATGTTCCTAGCATGTGTACAATTCATCTCAAATCCCAGGAATGGGTATCAGGAATACTTGACAAATGAACCCCACCGGAAATGTGTAACAAGATTCATAGCCCTGAATCGGTTCCAATGCTCCTCTTAAACAAAGGTTGAAGAAAAATAGGATGTGACATGTATAAATTCTGAACCACAAACTGTATCCTCTAGAGGGTGGCCCAGTTCTACCTGATAAGCCTCCTCCTGCCTCATCCTTCAAGATGAGCCCTGATCTAACAGATGGTTCGAGAAGAGGAAATCCAGGACCGTGACTGGATTAGCTGCAGGCTGATGAAACTTTCCTACAAACCACCCCCCGTCCCCCGCCAGCACCAAACAGCCACAGGGCTCTGTAGACTTACACCCCAACCCAGGTCAGCTCTAGGTCTCCCGAGGGGTCAAGTGTCTCAGACTAGACAGCCATATAGCCTCACCTTGACCTGTGGCTCCTGAAGGTTGAGTGAGGAGACTTTGTGGGAGGGCAGGTTTTAGAGAACCTGGGTCCTCCGCAGTGACTGAGAAAAGTTCCCCAAGCCTGTGTGGAATGGAGATCTCATAAGAGAAACCTTGTGTGACTCAGAACCCTTCCATGACTCTAGAACTAAACTCTTACTTCCAGAGGTGGCACCTCCAAGGCAGCTGTGGGCTCTCTGGGACTCTTCCTCAAACTTTGTGAGCCAGAGTCCTCCCCCTCAAGCCCAGTACCATCCCATCATGGCTGATGTGGGTGGGGTCACAGCAGAACAGGGCTGCTCCTCAAGGAGGGAGTCACATGTGGTATCTCCCTATGGATTAATGTCTCCCCGTTACACCACAGAGCATGGCTTGGTAGAACATCTTAAACGGGAAAGAAAGTGCCTTTCTAAATAGGACTGAAAATGTTCACCTTACAGGTGAAGTTGTTTTTTGTTTTGTTTTGATGTCTGAGGAAACACCTTGGATTTTGAATCTGCCCAGAGGGAAAAGGGTATGATATAGTTTAGATCTGCTAACACTCCCCTGAGGGCTTAAATTTGGGTAGTCAGAGTTAGCTAATTCTAGGTAAGGAACACACAATACCAGTTGTCTGCTGATGATGTGTTGTGTGCTGTGCTAGGCCCTTGACTTTCATCAGCACTTTATTCTTACAACTGTTCTGCAGGCCAGTCAAGTGCTTTTTGCCCCACTTCACAGAGGAGGATCAGAGAGGGGAGTAAATTGCCTAGGCCAGAGCATCACAGCATCAGAAGTCTAGCTGGGATCCTAACTAGGATCACCTAGCTCTAATGCCCCAGGTCCATTCATCTCCTGCTTTCCTTGGAACTCCCTCCTTACCTTTGAACTATCAGTTGTTGACCCGAGTGTCCAACCAGGTGGTCTGGTACCTCAGCCTAGTGCTGTTTGTTTGTTTGTTTGTTTGCCTAGTATTTTTCAAACTATAATAAGCAGAGCTTTTCTGAGTCAGTAGAATTGGGTTAAGGCTAAAGAGCCTGCCTGTCCAAGCTCCAAGGTTCATGTTCAGATCGGGGAAGTGGTCTTTGACATGATCTGAATCAGAGCAGAAGCTAAGGGCAAGGCTGAAAGTATTAGGAGGTGATAGTCTTAAGTACCTTAGAGAAAGGGCTGTGTGCACCTTGTTCTTGTATACCCCCAAAATACTTTGCTTACATCGGGCCCTTAATAATTATTTGTGTGTTTTACTAGTTGGGTAAAGAAATGAAGGAGACCAGAAACTAAGGGGTGTGACTTCATTCCCTTGGAATTTCCTCTTGCATAATAAAGTCTGGTGTGTAATGAAGGACAGCGAGATAATATTTACCTTTTTTTCAGCATGGGCCAATAAAATACAAGCTCTGATGGCTGCTGCAAGCATTGGCCAATCTAAAATCCCCAAAGGAAATGGATCTTACTCTGTTGGTTGTACAGACTTGATGTTTGATTATACTAAGAAGGTAATGCTTTGATTAATACCACTTAGCCTTATAATCTAATATTGACTGTTAGTATTGCCCACTAAAATGATTTGAAACCTGTCCTTGCCCTCACCTGAGAACAACTCACGTTGCCATTTATCTTGTCCCATTGGAAGCCTTTTGCAAGTTAGTTTGTTGCTGTCATCTGACCAGTTTATCTATAAATTCTCTTTATTTTCTCCATCCATCATGGTTGAAACCAACATGCTTATGCTTTCTTTCCACTCAGAAAGCATACTGACTTTGTTCAGTCACCACAGCAGCTTAAAATTTTTTTTTCTGGACCTCTCTGTGAACAACAGAAGTATTTGGGTCTTCACTAACTAAATGTGCAAAATAGCTATTGGAACATAATGGAGAAGGAACCTCACTAAAAGTATGTTAATTTCTTTCCTCTACAGGGTACCTTCTTGCGTTTGTATTACCCATCCCAAGAGGAGGACCCCCACTCTGACACCCTTTGGATCCCAAACAAAGAATATTTTTTTGGTCTTAGTAAATATCTTGGAACACATTGGCTTATGGGCAAAATACTAAGCTTATTTTTTGGTAAGATTCCCATTTGATCCTCCAGAATATAAGAAAAGCTGGAAAACAGCAGAAGTTTCAGGCAAAGATCAAAGTAGATTTTCTCCAGTCTAAACTTCTCTTCAGAGGACGAAGTGTTTCTTAAAAGCGAGAATCAAGGGTTCTCATTTGCTTTGTTCTACATATATGGGGGGAGATGGAGGGAGTGAAAGTGTCAGATTTTCCAACAGCCTGTAATATCTGTCTCTGGCTGGTCTTTAATTTTCCTGCTCACATACTGTGGAGGAGCAGTAATCTGATGAGTAAGAAGCAGGCTGGCTGTCATGCCCCATGCCCTGGATGCTTTGTAGGAAAGGGAAAGCCAATTTCTCCCCTATGGTAAGTGAGGGGACTCCATCCTCATTCCCATCGCCCATCCCCAAGTACCAGGTTCTCTCACCAAGACAACCTGCTGGGCATTCATGACTTCGTTTGTCTACCTATCACTAATATAGATGTTTCCTTATCTGTTTGCTCAGACACTACTGTTGGGCCAGGGTTAACCAAGTCTTCAAACTTCCCTCTCAAAACTACCTACAACTTCCGGCATTTATTTTAAACTTCTCCGTGGAGTTCTCTTAAAAACCCCTCTACAACAGAAATGATGGAAATGTAGCTACACCTCTATATGGTGCTGAATAAGTTACAAATCACTTCCAGAGCAGTCATCACATCCAGTCTTCATGACTGCAGCTCTGTCTAATAAAGGAGAAAATGGAACACAAATCACTTAGGGTAGCGATGACAAGAGCAGTTGAGAAGTGAAGGAAGGGAAGACAGTATCTTCCATGTTTTGAGCCACTTACTAATGTCATGAGATGAGTGCTTTGCATATATGTCCTACTTATATACCATTCTCACAAAAGCCCTATAAGATACCATTTGCTCCATTTTATGAAAGAGGAATGGGAGACTCAAGAGTTCTTGGAACTTGTTCAAGGTCAGTTGTAAGTAGCGGAGCTGCATCCAAGACCACATCTGAGTATGAAGTCAATGGTGTGTTCCTCTTGATCAGAACCAAATTAGAAGGAAAGGAGTCCCTGATTTGAAGATTCTGGTTCTCAGTGTAATGCTCCTGCAGTTCATTTTGGTTTCAGAATATTCCCTTTGAAGTTTTGCCAACACCTGGGCTTGGCACTAAGGAATAGCCTTCCTGAATACACCTGTAAGTAGGAGACTGTCTTATCTTAAGCACAGAGCTGGCAGTGAGAACAGATGATTAATGATTTTATGGTCTTGAGAAAAACTACATGCTTCAGGTCCTTGGTCGGTAGGTATCTAGTAGCAGACTTTTTAATGAATTGACTAGTAGTACATTAAAAACATAAGTATGAATTCTGTGGGTTAGGATTTGCACTAAGAAGATGTAAGTTAAATTAACCAGGAACATTCAAGTCAGAGAAAACACTAATTATCATCTCTCACTGTTGTCTAGGTTCAATGACAACTCCCACAGACTGGAACTCCCCTCTGAGGACTGGGGAAAAATATCCACTAATTGTTTTTTCTCATGGTCTTGGAGCATTCCGGTAATGTTTGAAAGACTGAGCAATTTGAATTCTGAAGGACCAATGACCGAATGCATCCCGCCCCACCCCCCCAAAAGAAGAGCAGATTTTAGAATATCACACTGGGTCCTGTCTTGGAGGAATTGGGGTTCCTCAACCCTCGGCTGTGGTCTGTTCATCAGTCCAGGCCTATCTTGTCAAGTAGTTTCTTCCTTCCTTCCAGCTCATGGGGACTAGCCTCATGACAAGAAGAGAAGGATTTACATTTTTGGCTGTCGCCCTTCTATGTTGTAATATTTACAGTCTCAAAACCATGCCCTGGGTTAGGCCTTCTGAGAACTTGACACCAAGATTGGATTACCTGTAAAAGACTTTTATTGAGAGAAATGTCTGTGAAGGATAGAGGGAACGGAGCAGGAAAAGATAGGGAGAACCTTCAGATCATGATGCAGCTTGGACACATGGGAAGGAGATGTGGAATGGTGAGATTGGGTACAGAGTCTCAGATTACAGCACACTTCAGAGAGACATGGGACCAGGCCAACTGAGGGAATGCTTGACTGGAAGTTGCTCATCAACAATTCTCACCAGAATGGGCCTACATTAGTGCCCACACTGCCCAGTCACTGGGTTCTGCTCACAGGAAGCTTAGCTGGTGCTGATAGATCTAGAGGGGGAGGGGCTCGGTGGGGTCTTTAATCAGCTATGCGCTCTGTGGCATGACCTCTGAGTGGCACATTTTCATGACCTCCACTCCCTCTCCTCTTCCATCCTTTCAGCTGCCTACCTTTCTTCTACCTCAAAGGATTAGAAAGACTTTCAGAAATCGGTGGATTTTAGCTGGCAAGAAGTTGGGGAGTATCTGCAATAAGAAATTACCTTCAGGGAGCGCCTGGGTGGCTCATTGGGTTAAGCATGTGACTCTTGATTTCAGCTCAGGTTATGATCTCAGGGTCATGAGATCGAGTCCCATAGCAGGCTTCATACTCAGCAGGGAGTCTGCTTGAGATTCTCTCCCTCTCCCTCTGTCCCTCCCTCTGCTCATGCTCTCTCTCTTTCTCTCTCTCAATAAGTAAATAAATAGATAAATCAAAAGAAATTATCTTTGGTACTTTAATCGTTGTCCACCTAGTTATTTAATTTCTACTTGACCAGTGTTTGGCAATTCCAGTCTGCTCCCTGTTTCTATAAATAAAGTTTTATTGAAACACAGTCACATTCATTCCAGCTTTTACATTGCCTGTGGCTACTCTGGTGCTATGACAGCAGAGTTGAGTAGCTGTGACAGATACTGTATTGCCCACCAAGTTGGAAATATTTATATCCCAGCCTTTGACAAGAGAAGGTTTGTTGATCCCTCCCTAAGTAGGTTGTGTTTTTTTAACAGTAGAAGACAGAGTTCCTACTACCTCCCTTTGGTTCTCTACTGCCCTTTCCTACTGAGCGCATATGAGAAGACTGTGCAGAGAGAAGAAGGGAAAGGGGGTATGAATGCAGTTGCTTAGCACATGATTCTTTGTGTCCAGTCATTTAAATAAGAGTTGACATGTGTTCAGTCTTTACCCTGTTTTAGACATAGTTACAAGCACTGAAAATGTATTAACTTACTTGATCGTTTACAGTAATCCCACCAAGTACCCTGCCATTACAGAGGAAGGGTCAGTGACTTCCCCAAGGCAGACAGCTCATCAGTGGTGGACCAAACACAGGGATCGGACTGCAGGTCCCATTCTCCTAAGCACCACACTGCATTGCCTTCCTACATACGCTGTCTTGCGAAAACTTTACAACTGTTCTAAAGCAAAGGCATTATTAGTCCCATTGTACAGGTGCTGACAAGGAATGTAATTACCTAAAGTCATATAGCTGATAAGTAGTAGGGCCAAGATTAAAGCCCAGAACTCTTAAAAGCGATATTTAGACTCACTGCATCAGGATTTCTCAATCTCGGGACTATCGACATTTGTTGTCGTTTTGTGGTTTTTTTTTTGTTTTTTTTTGTTTTTTTTTTAAGATTTTACTTATTTATTTGAAAGAGAGAGAGAGTGAGAGATGAGAGGGGAGAATGTCAGAGGGAGAAGAAGGCTCCCCGCAGAGCTGGGAGCCCGATGCGAGACTCGATCCTGGGACTCTGGAATCATGACCCAAGCCGAAGGCAGTGGCCTAACCAACCAAGCCACCCAGGCACCCAGGACTACAAAAGTTTTGCAGGAAATAATTTCTTACAGTGGAGGGTGGTTCTGTGTGCTCTAGGATGTTTAGTGCTATCCCTCTACCCACTAGAGGCCAGTAGCACCCTCTGCCCATCATGATAATGAAGATACCTCCAGATGTTGTCAAATATACCCTGAGGGCCAGAGCTTTGAGAACCACAGCTATCTGGTTTACACCCCAGGCATTACTACAGGGGTATAATGGCTCCATGTTCCCAGGTTTATTAGCGGACCCCCCCCCAGGCGTGGCTGGTAGTTTAATGCTTTCCTCCTTTTATTTTGAAGAACAATTTATTCTGCTATTGGCATTGATCTGGCATCCCATGGGTTCATAGTTGCTGCTGTAGAACACAGGTAGGTCACCTGGGCTCTAATTTTCAGAAAATATTTATAAAAAAAAATCAGTGAAATTGTCAACTGTGGTTACATGATGAAGGAAAACAAAAAAAGACTGGGTTAAACTATCAAGAGTTAAAAAGCAGCTAGCATTTCTGGTGTTTATTGTGTGCCCTGTTCGTACACCATTATTTAGTCTTTGTAAGAACCCTTCGAAATGGTTACTGTTACCACTGTTTGAAAGAAGAGGGCAATGAAGCTGGAAAAGGTCAGTAATTCGCCCCAAACCATACAGTGGGTAAGTGGCAGTCCTGGGATTTGGTTTCCAGCAGGAGTCTCCAGCTGACCTCCTAGAATTAGAAGATGGAAAGGGTGGACTTGACCTGTAGCAAAGACGTTTTCTTGGGGGCCTCTTTGATATGAAAACAAACAGAGTGGAAGAAGACTGGGAAGTCAGAAAGATCAGAGGGAAGTTGGGGATGGGGAGCATGGGAGGGGAGGAAGGAGAGGAAGAGCGAGGGTAAGGCATTGACTCTGTTTGATTGTAGAGATGGATCGGCCTCCGCGACTTACTATTTCCAAGACCAGTCTGCTGCAGAAATAGGAAACAAGTCTTGGCTCTATCTCCAAAGCCTCAAAACAGAGGAGGAGGAGATGTCTGTACGAAGTGAGCAGGTACGTAGCAGCCGGAGGGGAGGGGGCCTGGAGACTAAAAAGTATATGTAAACGGGTTAAGGCTTGCTCATGTCATTTATGTGCTTCCAGGGGAGCTCCTCGCTCTCCTGTTTCCCATTTCCCAACGATCTGTCAGAAGATTCTCTGAGAGACACAGTTCCCTTAATGAAAAGTCTGGATCATAGTAAAAACAAAGACAAACATACATATCCTGAGAGAAGACAGTACATATTCAGAATTCTTTTGCAGTAGAACTTCTCATTTTAGAATCTCAGACATGCTAGAAAAGAAATTGACAAAGATCTTCCCTTCCAAGGCAATATTAAAGACCGATGCAATATGGAATAAGTAGTAAGATCTGTGTTTGAATGCTGATGCTGTCACTTCAGGGTGGGCTGATCTCGGACAAGTTACTTACTCTGTTTGACCTCTTTGTTTGATCTGCTACAACATAATGAATAATAACAGCATCTTTTTCACAAGAGTGTCTGGAAGATGAGGTGAGAGCACACTGGCTTTCACCTCTGGGCCAGGTTTTGCAGTGGGTGTTTCATATATATGTCCTTGCATGTAATCCCACCCACATTTCACTGAGGTAGGTATTGCCATACAACAAATGGAAGCTCAGAGAGGTTGTGTACCTCATCTGAGGTCACACAGCAGGTAAGCACCAGAGCTAGGATTTGGATTCAACTATAACCTGCAAAGCTGGAGCCCACGTCATGACGCTGGTCATGTTCCAGTCACTAATCACTTAGACATTTCCAGTGTAGAAGCAATCAGCCAGGTTTCCCACATGCAACGCCTACACAGACTCTAAAATAAGTGCCACAGCTTTTTACTTTGTCATTTCCTTTTTCTAATCATCATCTTAGGTACAGAAAAGAGCAAAGGAGTGTTCTCAAGCTCTTGATTTGATTCTGGACATTGATCGTGGAAGGCCAGTGAAGAATGTCTTAGATTTAGAATTTGATGTGGAGCAATTGAAGGTGAGCTTAAGAAAAAGCCATGTCCCTTGTCCTGTCATTCTTCATTGTTCCTCTTCATCTGCTTTTCTGCTGTAATGCAAGGCTTGACATCACAGAGGGCTGCAAATTAAAAAAAAAAAAGATACACGAAGTATTACAGTTACGAGGAATGCATTAAGTTGCATAAGATATGAAATTGCCAACAGCCAACAGAAAGAGCAAATTCTCTGGTTCAACTCAATACGTCCAGTGGAAGTAGTTAAATTTCTGGATGGTTCTTGCATATTTTTGAGCTTGATCCTGCAGTGGTGGTCAGAAGTTTTCAACAGACTATTGAGAGGAGGTAGAAGACTGTCGAAGTGGACCGCATGAACACAGACCCGAAATTGTGCATGGGAAATGGAGGATGGGATAGAAGGAGCAAGAAGTACTTCAGTTCAGGCAGAAGATGATGGTCTGTTCTCCTGATTCAGCAAAGAGTTTGTTGTCCCTTAGCCCGTCCCTCCCTCTCCTGCCTCCGTGCTTTTGTACATGCTGTCCTCTTGGCCTGACACATTCTTCTCCCTGAGTCTTGCTTACTCTCCAAGTCAGGCATCACCTTCCCCAGGAAGCTTTCTTGGACCCCACTGCCACCCCTGGGCTGCTGAGCTATCTGTCACGTGTGCTCCTTGGCACCACCCTGTTGAACGCTGTTGTATCTGCATCACATACCTGTACCTGGTCCTCCACTGGTAGACTGTGCTACAGTGAAAGTGTAGTGCTTGAAAGTGCTCTACGGTGCCTGGCATAGAGCAGGTGCACGATAGATATGCAGGGAATGAACACATGAATTAAATGTGGAGTGGGGAGAGGCAGGAGTCAGCAATGATGTCAGTGTTTCAAGTGTGGGTGCCTAGGAACTTTGCCTAGTTTACTTTGAACTTCTACGAATGCCCAACATGTAGATTTGTCTATATATATGCCAGTGTACGTCCATGCATATGTATGTGTATGTATATGTGTGTGTGTGTGTGCATGTGAGTGTATGTGTGTATGCATTTCTTATACAAGAGATCAAAGTACTTAACCATGCCCATGCAATGAACACAAATTTTAGGATGTGAAAAACCGTTCTATTCTAAATGCCTGTGAGACAGTGATGAATATATATCGTGCTATTTCATACAGGACTCTATCGACAGGGATAAAATAGCAGTAATTGGACACTCTTTTGGTGGAGCCACCGTTGTTCAGACTCTTAGTGAAGACCAGAGATTCAGGTAAGAGAACGAAGAGAAAGAAAACTAAGTTTTTGGAAGACAGAAAGCTATAACCCATGTGAGAGAGAATTTTTATCAAACTCTTTTTTTAAAAAAGATTTTATTATTTATTTGACAGACAGAGATCACAAGTAGGCAGAGAGGCAGGCAGAGAGAGAGAGGAGGAAGCAGGCTCCCCGCTGAGCAGAGAGCCCGTTGTGAGGCTTGATCCCAGGACCTGGGATCATGACCTCAGCCGAAGGCAGAGGCTTTAACCCACTGAGCCACCCAGGCACCCCATTTATCAAATTCTTAATGAGGAAAGGATCCTCCAGGGTTTATAAGTCTGTTCTTTTGCCTCCATAAAGTACTCTGTATGAATTTTCCCAGACAGAAACCATCTACCTCACTTGCTACTAAAAGCTTTCCCCACTCCTATATATTTTCCCTCATCATTCTTATATATTTGCTTAAGGGCTTAATATTTTCACTTGGAAATCTATCCATATATATACATATACGTGTATATACATATACATATACATATGGAAATGTATCCACATATATTGGAAATCTATGTATCCACATAGATTGGAAATCTATCCACATATATATGTATATGTATATATATGGATAGATTTCCAAGTGAAAATATTAAGCCCTTAAGCAAATATATAAGAATGATGAGGGAAAATATATAGGAGTGTATATGTGTATATATATATATAATCTATCCATATATATATATATGTGTATATATATATATAAAATCTATGACATAATGGTTGTGACATCAGTAGTGTATCTTACAGTATTTCTAGATTTCCCCAATATGCCAGGCATTTTTAAATTGATTTTTTTTTTCCATCTTTAAGATCGATAGAGGTCTTGGAGTGCCTGGGTGGCTAAGGCAGTTAAGCGTCTGACTCTTGGTTTCAGCTCAGGTCATGAGCTCAGGATCTTAAGAACTAGCCCAGGTTGGGCTCTGCACTCAGTGTGGTGTCTGCTTGAAATTCTTTCTCTCTTCCTCTCCCTCCTCCTCTACTCCTCCCTCCACTGGCTGTCTCGCAAATAAATTAAACACACAAACAAATAAATAAAATATTATTTCACTTAATATTTCACATAATTATTTCACATAACACCCTAGAGGGTATTATGCTAGGTGAAATAAGTCAGACAAAGATAGTTATCTTATGATTTCACTGATAATGTGGAATTTGAGAAACAAGGCAGAGGATCATGGGGGAAGAGAGGAAAGATGAAATGGCATGAAACCAGAGAGGGAAACAGACCATGGGACTCTTTTTTTTTTTTTTAATGAACATTCTTCTTTTATTTGGAATTTAAATGGGAATATTTTTGAATCACATCATTAAGAACAGTATTTGATATATATTTTTAGAAAGTGCTTACAAAAAATTTTTTTAATATTTTTATTAACATATAATGTGTTTTTTGCCCCAGAGGTACAGGTCTGTGAATCATCAGGCTTACACATTTCACAGCACTCACCATAGCACATACCCTCCCCAGTGTCCATCACCCAACCACCCCATAAGAGTCTCTTAATCTCAGGAAACAAACTGAGGGTTGCTGGAGGGGAGGGAGGTGGGGAGGGATGGGGTGGCTGTGTGGTGGACATTGGAGAGAGCATGTGCTATGGTGAGTGCTATGAATTGTGTAAGACTGATGAATCACAGACTTGTACCCCTGAAACAAATAATAAATTAGATGGTAATTTAAAAAAATAAAAAATAAAAATACATAAAATCTTTTTTAAAAAAAATGGATAGAGGTATTAAATTATAGTTGTTTGGGTGAGAGTCAGGACCCGGTCCCAGTTTTATAACTTAAAAAAATACCTTCTTTCTTGAACCATGGCATCACAGACGGGATGAACTCATGAAGAGCCAACCATCTAGAAAATGGGTAGGAAGGACCCTTTGTGAAACTTCATCTCACAAATTTTTTTTTTTTAAGATTTTATTTATTTATTTGACAGACAGATCACAAGTAGGCAGAGAGGCAGGCAGAGAGAGAGAGAGAGGGAAGCAGGCTCCCTGCTGAGCAGAGAGCCCGATGTGGGGCTCAATCCCAGGACCCTGAGATCATGACCTGAGCCGAAGGCAGCGGCTTAACCCACTGAGCCACCCAGGCGCCCCCAATTCACAAATTTTTAAAATCAGTTTCTATAAGGGAATTCTCTTCTTTTGCCCATTTAGCACATAAAATGGAGTGTCCAAAAGGTCCGGAAACATAGGATAAACTTACTTTTTTTTTTTTTTTAAGATTTTATTTATTTATTTGACAGAGATCACAAGTAGGCAGAGGGGCAGGCAGAGAGAGAGGGGGAAGCAGGTTCCCTGCAGAGAGCCCTATGTGGGGCTCAATCCCAGGACCCTGGGATCATGACCTGAGCCAAAGGCAGAGGCTTTAACCCACTGAGCCACCCAAGGCACCTCAGGATAAACGTACTTTTAAAACGCAAGTTACCTTTTCAAATGATATACCTTGTATGTTTTTCTTCAACCTCCAGACACTTATCCAGGTGAAGTACCTCTACCTATAAAGCAACTGGTCCAACAGTTAATTGTGAAAAAGGCACAGTAAATGGACTTCATGGTGTCCAGAAGGCCTGGAAACATGGGAGCAATAATGCATATATTGTATGTCTTCAGACACCCCATCGTTTTGGAGAAACTCTTACTGAAAAGTTTATTTTGAAAGCAATGTAACAAAAATGATAAAACATTTTAAAGATACTCTTATCTTTTTAAGGTCACAATTCCTAAATGTCTCCTAAAGAAAATGATTATGTAATTCCAAGTCTGCTACCTTATAAAGCTCATCATACTCCCTTCTTACACTGAGGTATAATACCAGTGAGATAACCCACAGTAAACCAGGATGGTGTATGCCCATTAATCCTAACGTCATTAGAAATTCGCATGTCCGTCAGCGTGTCACCAGCCTTCTTTTGTCATTGTCCCTGAACTCCTGCAGATGTGGTATTGCCCTGGATGCTTGGGTGACTCCGCTGGATGATGAAATATTTTCCAGAATTCCTCAGCCCCTCTTTTTTATCAACTCGGAACGGTTCCAATATCCTGCTAATATTGAAAAAATGGAAAAGTGCTACTTACCCGGCAAAGAAAGAAAAATGATTACAATCAGGTGAGTATTAATAAGTGATTTATTTCATCATCTGAAACAGAAACTTGAAACTTGGATACACACCAAAAGATACCATTTGGTAGGCATGATAGAGTCGTTAAATGCATTGTTTAGACTTCCCATGAGGGAGAATATGAGATAATTTAAGGGTCTAAGTGCATTTATGCTTGTTCTTTTTTAAAATGCAGATGTTTTGAAATGTGTTAATGTAAGTCCTTCCTATACTGATAATTAAAATTTGCATTAGGATACAAGAGCAGGCTTATGTATTTGGGAGCTGGGGTAGGGAGAAGTATTCCATCAACAGGCTAGACGAGGAACTCTTTGGGGGAAAAAGGGAGAGCATCTGTTGAGATCTGCAGTGTGTACCTGTTTCAAAAGAATATGGATTTGTAAATTCCCCCAAAGCTATAATGGGATGCCTTTGAGCATCAGCGATATGCTGGTATCATGGGTGTGAAAAAGAAACCCCAGCAGAGTTTTGAACTCACAACGTGATGTTACAAGGTAGAGCTCATCCCTCTTCTGAAACCTGGCTTATTTCAAAGAAGACAAGAAGAGGGGGTGGGAAGGAAACACAAACCATGTAGGCAGTAAACGCTATGGGGTCAGAGAATGGAGGCTTTTCCGCCTGAGGTGTTCAGGACAGGCTGCTGGGAAGACAAGAGAGTAGAATTGGTCTAGAAGGATCAAGAGACTTTAGATAGTGAGGAGGGTCTAGGTAGTTTAGTTAAAGACCTCAGTTTAGCTTCACGTGAGCTAAGGACTTCAGTATTTGGATGGGCAAGTATTTAATTTTAAAGCAGAAATAATGCAGAATGCCTAGCCTCCCTCAACTCCACTTCTTTACTAGGCTTTTACTCTACCTTATTTTTTTTTCCTTCCTTTCTCTGCTAGGAACCTGGAAATAATAGCTCATATTTCATAGTTCGTGCTTACTTCCAGGTGCACTTTGATTCCTGTAGGCTAGCTCCCCAAACCCCCACCAGCATACTGGAGCTCACCCTACCAAGGACATAAAAGACCCTGCAGGCTATTTGCCACCTGGACCCTGCTCTCTGTATCCATTCGAACTTGACCTTGTGGACGTCCCTGTTTCTCCCCCCAGGGGTACTACAACCCTACTCTTCGCCCTTCCTCCCATTGGTTTGACCGCTCCCTCCCTCTCTCCTGCCATGGTCTCCTCCTGAGGCCATTCCACCAGTGTTGGTAGCATCTGGGCTTCTGCTCCTGACCCTGTTTCCAGCTTCTTTGTGTTTCTGACATTCATGTAGTGATTGGAAGCAGGGAAGAAGGAGCGGAAGGCAGATGGCTCTGGTTCAAGTATAGATAACTGGGAGTGGTGGTTGGTTTATAAGCAGGAATAAAATAAAGAGGAAGGGGGGCACGGTAGGGGAGGGGGTGCTGGAAAGATGTATTCTTATAATCTCTTAGCTTGAGCTCGGGAAATCTGGGTAGAGATGTCTGGCCACACACTGGGAAAATATAGAATTTGCATATTATACATGAAACCTGTGCAGATAAGACCACCAAGTGGGTTAAAATTGATTTGAGAACAGAATCTCGGGAAATGCCTGTATGTATGTGAAGAGCCAGTGGAGAACAGAGTGGTTAGGGGAAGAAGAGAAGGTACAAACAAGAAAGAGATGGTCAGGGAAACAAAGAAAAAAACACAAACCTGCAAGAAAGTGTCAAATGTCTGAGAGGCAGTAGAAAACTACTGCACCAAGGAAAAGGCCATTCTACTTGATGTTAGGCTGTTGGTGGATTTAAGGAGCAGCATAAATGATACCTATAAGATACTTCCAGCTTAAATAATAAAAGGAAAAGGTTTTGGGTTTTTTTTTTCCCTTAAATCTACTTTATCCCAGGCTTCTGTGCAGTGTGCTTTGACTAGCATCAAATAGATACGAAGTTAGGTGGTGTTGGTAAGCAAATATAATAGGCTTCTGGCTCTGAGTACGCAGTCCCTGCAAAACATAATACGTTGCATCAGCTCAAAAAAAAAAAAAGAAAGAAAGAAAGAAAAAGCTGGAATCATTTCTTCTAAAGCCAAGATGCCGCTGAAGACTGGAATCTTTGTTTACCTAAAAGGGAAGATCAATATATACTCTAAGATCCCTATACGTGCACCCTGTGACCCACAAATACAACTAAAGAGATCAAATCTACAGGTTTTATTTCCTTGGTTTTTCAGTACATAGCCAGAGAGGCCAGTATCCTTCCTGCACCCTAACTACAGAAATAAGTTTGTCAAACTGTGTGATTTATAACTCTCCTTTCTCTTTCAGGGGTTCAGTCCATCAAAATTTTGCTGATTTCACATTTGCAACTGGCAAAATAATTGGACACATATTCACCTTAAAAGGAGATATAGATTCAAATGTAGCACTTGGTCTTAGCAACAAAGCTTCATTAGCATTTTTACAAAAGCACTTAGGTAAGAAACTAAGAGTATTTCATGACATAAACCAGGTGATCCTTAGGACAAAACTCTCTTAATCCAGCCTTAGTCCTATTTTAACTGTCTCCAGTTGGTTTGCAATGTAATAGGGCAGTAAATCAGTTTGCAAACAGAAGCATGAGAAATTTAATTCTGCAGCTTGCATGCTCTGTATCACGGACAGCGAGTCTACCTGTTAAAGGGAATAGTTCTTCTGGGCGCACTTGGTGGACTTCCATGCTGAGGGTCCTGGCTGATCTGCAGGTGCCTAGCTCCATCACTTACACAGAAGCAGTGGCCAGGGCTGTAATCATGTCATTAGTGAGGCTATGCTGCCACCTAGAGGCACTGAGCTGTTTCATGCTCTCAAAAAGTTTACTATGCTAATATATTACCATTTTTATTTTACAGGACTGCAGAAAGATTTTGATCAGTGGGATTCTTTGATTGAAGGAAAAGATGCTAATCTTATTCCAGGGACCAACATTAACATAACAAGCCACGATGTCAGTCTACAGAACCTTACAGAAACAGAGCAATAGCATTTAGATTAAAGGCACTTTTTTAAAAGTCTTGTTTAAAAACAGTCTAAAAGTGTATGTATGTGTGTGTGTAGGATTTTAATGTATTTTCTCAAATAACTCATATTGTAAAATGTAGACTATACCATAAAAGTGATTGAAGCTTGGACTAGGATTTTTTTTTTCTTAAAATGTAAAGACAGATGTATATTAAAACCATGCCAGTCTAAATTTTGGTTTTAGTAAGATGATGCTTTTTTAGTGTCAAACTTAATAATGACTTTTACATTACTTTAGTGGACAAGTATATCAAAACGGGCACAGTGCTAATGAAAACGTGTTGCAATGACATAACACTCCTTAAAAATACAATACAGGAAAAAATACAAGTTTTCATGCATTTTTTTTTTTTAATTGTGAGTAGAATTGAGTTTTAGCAATGTGGTATTCTAGGTAGAATTTGGAAGCACTTCCCTTTGACTTTTGGTTATGGGAAGAAAAATTAGATCAAGCAAATGGTAAAAGCATTGTTTCACCACAAGACTAGGGATACTCAACAATTTCAATATGGTAACTAAATGGGGCCTGGCCAAGGATAAGGATATTGGAGACAAGGCAAAGGCAGCAGATTAAGATGGATGAAAGAGAGTTTGTAATTTGTTTGCCTTTACTTAATGGTTTATCTCGGGTGGATTCTTCCTACTCAAGGAAGGTGCATAAGACAGGCCAGGGATTCCGGTTACAACATATTATTCACCGGAAGGCTGCGAAGGTAACAAAGGAAACATTCAGAGTACTTTTAACTGGTTGATTTTTCCAATTACTTTGATGTTCTTTAATTCTGTACGAAGTTGTGGAAGCAGAATAGCCCAACACAGGCATATGTTGCTTTAGTGGGCTTTGCAATTTATTGCATTTCTTACAAACTGAAGTTTCGAGACTTGAGTGGAGGAAGTAACAACAGATGGGGTGGAAACAGAGAACTTGAATTCAAAGTGGGGCCTGAAGAGGGGACTGAGTTGCTGCAATCTCTTGATAAGACGTGAGTGGCTGAGAATGGCTGCTTATGGATGACCAAAGAAAGTGGTTTCTTGAGCTGGAGTCTGCCCCTGGTGGAGATGCTATGAAGGTTGTTGAGATGACCACAAAGGATTTACAATAGGAGTTAACCCTTCACAGAGAAAGCAGCAGCAGGGCATGAGAGGACTGACTCCAATTTGGAGTGAATAAAATGCTGTCAAAGGGCATGCAAGAGAAACTTCATGGAAGGAGAAGTCCATCGAAGGGGCAAATTTCATTGTTGTCTTTTTTTATTGTTTTGTTTTTATTTTTTTAAAGATTTGGACAGAGAGAGGCAGTAAGAGAGGAAACACAAGCAGGGGGAGCAGGAGAGGGAGAAGCAGGAGAGGGAGAAGCAGGCTTCCTGCTGAGCAAGGAGCCCAATGTGGGCTGGATCCCAGGACGCTTAACCAACTGTGCCACTCAGGTGCCCCCACTGTTGTCTTATTTTTTTAAATTGCCACAGCCACTCCAGCCTTCAGCAACCGTCCCCCTTGATCAGTCAGCAGCCATCAACACAGAAGAGAGACCCTCCACCAGCAAAAAGATATGACTCGGGGCGCCTGGGTGGCTCAGTGGGTTAAGCCGCTGCCTTCGGCTCAGGTCATGATCTCAGAGTCCTGGGATCCAGCCCCGCATCGGGCTCTCTGCTCAGCGGGGGGCCTGCTTCCTCCTCTCTCTCTGCCTGCCTCTCTGCCTGCTTGTGATCTCTGTCAAATAAATAAATAAAATCTTTAAAAAAAAAAAAAAAAGATATGACTCACTGAAAGTTTAGGTGATGGTTAGGATTTTTGTTTAGCAATTAAGTTTTTTTTTTTAATCAAGGTATGTATATTGCTTTGTTTAGATAATGGTATTGCACGTTTAATAGACTACACTGCAGTGTAAACATAACTTTCATATGTACTGGGAGACCAACAAAAGTCATTGACTAACTTCATTGTAGTGGTTTGGAACTGAACCCATATATCCCCGAGGTAGGCCTGCACATGGAGGTAAAAAGCTCAAAACTTGCTTATATATCTGGGAGTCAAGGGAAATGGGTTTTGTTTCCCGAGGAATATAAAAGCGTGTGACACTCATGAGTCAAGTATATTTTGGCTTAGTGGTGGTCTGGTTCCTGTGAATTCTCCACACGTGTTCAAGCCTGTGTGAACAGGGATACTCGGTTTCACAGAGAGCCTGGTTAACCACTCCATCCCCACCCCTTTTGCTCAGTTAATAAGTGACCATGTATTTTGATGTGATACTTCAGCCTATCTTAAGTGTTTTACAGAGCAAAAACGCTCATTTTGAGAAATCTGACTTCTATCCTATAGCCATTCTGATTTAAAAAATTTTTAAGGTGTTAAACTCCTTAGCATGAAACTGAAGGCTTTCTATAATCTGGCCCTAAGGTATCTTCTCAGACCTTTTCTGCCACTAATCTGTAGCTGCATCACCTATAGGTGTGAACCCAACTTGTCTCCTCTTATCCCAGGGACAAGCAGTAGGCTTTCTACCTCAACTATGTTTACTGCAAAACCCTCACCTCTCTACTTATTGAAACTGTACCCACCTTTCAGTGTCCTTAGTTCTCACTGCTCCCCCATCAGGCTTTGGGAGTCTGATTATGTTTCAGATGTGCCTCTTTCCCCTACCTGCACAAAGCAAACCTCCTTACTCATTTTGGAAATGGATAACCCTTCCAATTGTCCTGATGTCTCATTAAGTAGCATTTTTTAAAAAATCCTTTATCAGTGGGCCATGCAGATGCTAAAGGAGAATATAACCATGGAGAAGACTTAGTGAGTTAAAATTTAAAAATATAATAATGACCCAGTGCACACACTGGTTTTGCAGAGAAAAGAATACTATTTCCTGTCTTAAAGGCACTTTGAGAAAGGTTTTATCATCCCCATTTGACAGATGAGGAAGATCAAGTCTCAGAGACCTTGTATAACCTGTGCAGGTCACCTATCTCGTTAGCAGCATACAGCTAAGAGTGTCCTACAGCTGGATCTGTACCACCACCTATACAAACCCTGTTTTAACAGAGTGGGCTTTGAAGTTGGTTGGGTCTGGGTTTGATCAGGTTTCTGAGACTCTCCAGCTCTTTGACCTAGATAAGTTAACATAACTTCTCTAAAAAGCGTTAATTTTCTCACCTGTAAACTATGGATAATATTGATATGCCCCTTGCAGTTGAAAATTAAATGAGACATGCATTTAAAGCACCAACTGAGGGACTGACCTGTAAGAGCTAATATTGACGATTACTGCTTTCCCCCATTTCTAGAACTGTGATTCCATTACTACAGATAATCCACAACCACAGATGTTCCAGAATCGTATTTCCTTTTTAATAAAATGAAACCACCACACATTTCAGGAAAAACTTTATTCAAATCTTGGGTCATATTAGAATACTTCCAAAATCAAACAGAGTATTAGTCAAATGTTTGACTAGACAGACAAGGTAAAGCTTCAGAAACAAAACAAAACATTGGGAGGAGTTCCTGCTAACAAACCCATCCCCCAAAGTAACATCAGAGGATATACTTGTCATAAACCTATAATTTTCTATTTTAATTTAAACACTATATTCAAAAGAAAAGTAGGGTTTGGGGTTTTTTTTTTTGTTTTTTTTTTTGAAATCTGAGTAATGCGTTAGCCAACTGTTTAGCAAAATAAATTCTCCTAACTGATTAAGAATATAACACATTTAAAGGGAGAAGATCCCAGATCCATATACACAGCAATCCCACTATAAGTACACTGCCTAGTCACAATGAGATCTATTTGGTTTTCCATGCATATCAGAGGTTTCAAAAATGGCAGCTTCTTGGGACTACATGCTCTCGATGTGCTCGAATGCTCTGTTGGCCTGGTGAAATGCCACTGGTGGAATAGCAGCTCCTGACCGGCGGACTAGCCACATCTGTGGATCCACTGTTAAATCTAGATCACCTCCAGACCCCTTTTCTGGAAGAAAAGAAAAAGAGAGAGAGAGAGAAAGAGGGAAAAAAAAAAAAAACCCAAAACCTTCAAGTTGAAAAAGAAAGAAACAAGAAAATTATTTACATAGTGCTCCCACAACAAATTGAATGTCCTCTCAAAATGGTGAGAACTATTCTATGGAGAAATAATCCCATGGAGATTGTCCTTGTTTGTTTTTCTTTTTTTCTTTTAGTATTTTGGTTCTCACACTCTACCTATTATCAGACAAAGTTTCTCTAAAATATTATAAAATCGGCATATTTTATATTTTGCTAGAATGATGTTAGCCAAGCTGATAACCAAATAAGCTCTTTGTTCTCTTTCCTTAGTATGTATGTTTCAAATAATACTAGAGCCTCCCAGAGCTGATTTCTCAGTGTACCTCGATGTAAGAACCAGTGTGCTGCTTATGAACAAGATCATGCAATAACTAGTAACTTCCAACAAACCGAATCTTACGAGCTAAGCTAAAAACCCAGAAAGAAATTCCAAGACATCTTTTCACATACAAAGATCATTCGAATGTATGAGCTAATACACACTGAGAAAATTCTTAAAAGTCCTTTAAAATATAAATTTATCAAATTCATAATGTAATTTTCAAGATGAATTCAATCAACAAATAAAGTTTTCTTATGACATTTCATGAAATCCTCTTCTTGGTTATTTATCCTCAGAAGCATATTTAATATTTTTAACTAAAGAGCTGTGGGTTTTTTTCTACTACTGACATCTAAGGAAATTGATAGACCATTTTTATTTGAGGATTCAGGATAATGGTATCTTTCAGACTTAGCAAGCAGGTGATAAAAGTTATTTTCTTTTAAAACACAAGTTACGGGGCACCTGGGTGGCTCAGTGGGTTAAAGCCTCTGCCTTCGGCTCAGGTCATGATCCCAGGGTCTTGGGATTGAGCCCCTCATCCTGCTTTCTGCTCAGCAGGGAGCCTGCTCCCCCCCCCGCCCCCGCCTGCCTCTTTGCCTACTTGTGATCTCTGTCAAATAAATAAATAAAATCTTTTAAAAAAATAATAATAA